TTTGGAAAATTTTAATGGGTGTTATTAATTAACTTTAAGAATTATGAGGGGTCGGATACTTATGACCGCTACTGTAGTTGCATTTGAGTGCCATTCATCTGAAGAAATGAAAGTCAAATGCTATAAACCAAAAAAAAATACCAAGCGATCTCAGAGAAAACACGCGATTTTAGACCGCTGAAAATTTGCCATTATACAATCCAGCTAAGTATGATGCAGATCTTATATGCATAAAAAACATTAACCGGATGCTGATCCTGCTTCTGTGCAATTGGGCGAACCCGGACACAATGTTCATCAGTATTTCTTGTAGATCATGTTTCTATTGGTTGGAAGCGTGAAGAGTATTCACGATTATCATACAGGGGACTTTATAACCTACTTTTTTTCTCGGAAAAATTTTGGTGATTTTATTAATATATTATGCCGAATTTCTTACCAAACAATCAGGATAATAAAGCTTATAAGGAGCCGAAAGACCAGAACTACTTTGAAAAATAGCATATATTTAGGGGATAGAAGCATGGATGTAAGGTTTGTAAGGAATGTGATCATCACTCATCTGTATTGCAAAAGGTGAATGTGACCTCAGATAATTTGATCAATAAAGCAATGGCACAAATTTACCAGATTTTATAATTTTTTTGCATGGAGCGGGGTTGTGAAATTGTGTGAAACAATATTTTTTGATCAGGTTTTATTGTAGCTTGATAAATAAATGCGCAGTATGTCAACATATATCACGGGTGCAAGTAATTGCGCAAAATAATTTATTCTCGCAAATTCTCAAAATTATGGATGATCTTTATATATGGATAGCATTAAATTCTTTATTGTTAAATTAAGGGGATGCCGTTGATCAGATTTTCGTGATGCAATCATATTAACGTAATTTTTCCCCAAAGTGTATTCCAAGATCGATCCTGCAAATTGTATAAAAAGGTGATGTCCCGGTTAGTGAATCTTTTTATCTGTCTTGCGCAAATATAAGCAAATTTCTTGTATATGAGGCGGAATGTAATATTGTGAAAACTAAGTATATCGGTAAGTGTGAATTGGAAATACTGTATTATTTTTTTAACTCGGTTGCTAATACTCCCTTAATTATAATATAGATTCGAAATTTCTTAATTTTGGAGTTCTCTTGCGGGAAATAATCTTTAGCATAGTCCGTGCGAGTTGGAGTGATATAGATAGGCGTAGAAATGGGTGTGATAATTTATTTAGGAAATTTTAGTGTAATAAAGAGTGGGGATAAGAATTTCGTAATTAGCTGATGCTGGGACTCGCAATAAATGGCCTAGGATCCGCGTACTCCCTCCCTCTTTGATAGTATCAAACATTTCATTTGCTTCTTTAATATTTTCCATGAAATTATTAATAAATCAGTTTTCGGTTTATCACATGTAACGCAAAAAAATCATGTGACGTTGAAAGTTACGCCATAAAAATTCCTCTGACAAATACGTGCATTCTGTGCAAGTCTTTCTAAAAATAAATTATTAATACGCATATTAGCCATATCCGGTATTCACGAATATTTCAAAAAGAATCCTACGGTTTGGAGCATTGTTGACTTTCTGAACGAGTGCGATACAGAACCGATTGATGCAAAGGTAGACAGATATACAAAAGGTCTCGAGAAAATCGCTAACAATCAACAAGAAGAAAGGGCTGAAAGAGCACAATTGCTTCTCAACTGTTTTAAAAAGGCAAGTGAAAATTTAATTTTTATTGAATCAATGAAAAAGTGGCGTGAACGGAGGCTTTCTAGGTTGCCGGTCATTCAAGGTTTTTAGCCGAGCCACGAAACCAGTACTGGCGCATAGATGACTTTCTAGGTTATCTGATGCAAAAGGTTTCTAGCCGATCCAGTACTGGACTCACTGGGACAACAGTTGGCTTTCTAGGCAGGCTGATGTTCTGGTGAGATTGAAAATGTTAGTCAAGGATTGTTACTAGCTTCAATGGTGTAAGTTAATCTTTTTTATATATCATATGACTTGATTTTTTTTCCTGACAACTGGTATGTTGTTTCAATAGAAAACTACTAAGGAACTTCGGAAGCAAGTCTTTAAGGCTGATCAAATGGATCAAGATTTTGATCGATCAAAGGATTTTGATCGAGACTGGATACGTAATACCATATACAATTTGTATGTAATAACTTCATTACAGTAATTCAAGATTGGATACTAAATTTGCACTCTCATTTCACAGACTGCAAGAATATGAAGCGAACGCTTTAACGACGGACCATTTAGAATTGTGGATACTCGTCCACGTTTGGAGCTTCACCGATAAAGTTTCAATGACATTGGTGAAGTGAAAGTGGTCAGGTAAGGAAAAGAAAATTTCCAATTGGTTCTCATCTTTCCATGGCCTAAATAATTTATACAAATAGGGGAGAGTCATGTAGCTTATTGTCATCGGTAAGAAAAAATCGTGAAAGAGCCGTACTGCCGTAACAGATATGAAAAGAAAGATCCTCGGGAGAAGAGGTGATATGATTATTCGCAAGATTACAGATGAGTTTGGGTGCGCTGAAGCAGGTCGACAGTTCGAGGGGCAGAATGGTACAAAGTTGTTGCGGGAGAGAGGCCTGAAAATGCCTAAGATGATGAAAGATTTGTTTAATCAACTTTGTAAGAGTTTTGAACAAGATGAGCATAAAACCCGTAAACTGGAAACAATTGGATTCCTCCATGCTGGTATGTTTTTTTTTTACCTAACATTCACTAATCCACCTTTTGTTGCTTACTTTGATTGTATTTTCTAGGGCTTATGATGGCACTTCTGCGCTTAGACTCACCAGCTGGATATGTGTGTCGCGTGTTACGATCAAAATCTTTTTATATCGCTACACATGTTAAGGAGTTTGGGAAGACACTTCCTGCAATTGTTTTGACATGGAAAGCTAAAGTAAGTACTTACATTATTTTCAGTTTCTGTCTTTTGCGTCTGACAAACTTTTTCTTGTAGAAGATCGTTGAAAATATGATTTGTTTAGTTGAGCAAACCGATGAAACTGATGAATGCAATGAGGAAGATCAACTACGACGTTTGGAGAATATCTACGATGTGACACCACCACCATCACGAAGACGAAAGAAGGTGGATTTGCCAATATGTTTGGATACTCCATCAAAATCGTCAAAGAGAGTCAAAGAGATCCCGCTTGGTATGGTCTATTATTTTATTCTACTTTGTATGAAAAAGGATATGTCTATATCTTTGTATTTTGCATTAGATCTGCTTGGACCACCACCACCATTCAATCTGCTATCAAGCATAATATCTTGCCCAGATCCTCAGTGTGAGGGAGAAAATAAAGTTACTGCTAAATTTTGTTCGGATTGTGGAAAGCCTATCAATGGAATGTACACAATATCTCCGAAAACACAAGAGAAACATGGGAGGAATTAATCTGATGTTCAAGACAATCGACCATTTTGTGGAGGTGGATTACAGATTAGTAGTAATAATGGTAAAAACATTATATCAAGATTAGAGTGTCACATTGCATCTGTGAGCTCTTATGTCGGTTTTTCTTTATGTATTGTGAATTTGTGATGCTACATGCGGGTGGTTTGGTGCATCAGAAAAATAAAAAAGTTTATATGCTGATTTTTTTATAAGTGATATCGTGTTTATTGTACGAACATCAAATATGTACCAACTATTAACCCATGTATATTTGATCAAAATTTTTTAATGGTCGGCGTTCTTTTTTGGAACGCACGCGTGATTTTTTTTCAGACGTTCCTTTTCAGTCTATTCTAAGGTAAGTTGTATTTTTACTGCTTTCTAGAGTGGACAGATGACCTAATTCAGAATTGGCTGATCTATAACTCATCTCGTGATCTGAGTTGCGAGGACGGACTAGGGAGATCTCATGTGATACAAATTTTATAATTTAGCCGTCTATGGTGATCGGATCTAATTTAACCGAATCATAACATCGGGAAAAAATTATTTCACCCCGAAGTTCTTTGAACAAGGGGGTATAATCGAATCTGATATTTATTATAATATACTTGCTATAAATTGCTATAAGTCTTTAAAATCGCTAAAAAACGCTATAAATCACTAAAACAGCTATAAATTGCTATAAAGTCCCTATATCCGTAAAATGGTTAAAACTAACTATTCTGGTTTAAATCCTATAGTAGTGTAGGCGTCAAACAATCTGCAATATAGGTATAGTGGTGAAACACCAGAAATGTGGTGTTCTTGTATTTGTTATCCATTTAAGTAACTTGAATATAACCCAAAATACTTCTCCAAGAATGGATTTATTCAAATGATTGAAAGATCATATAAAGATGGGGAATTTAAAGCTGGGAAATGCTCATTTCATATTTATTGCACTATATGTGACTCCTTAGTAATTATCCGTGAAAATACCATCAAAAGTGGCAATGATTATCTGAAGAAATATATTATTAAAACTGCTAAAATTCATTCTAATTCTGTATGAAAGAATGTGAAAAAAGAAGGAAGTGTATCATCGCTCAGTTCTGATGAAGTTGATGAGATTTATCTAACATATTCAGTTATGTATAGTAAAGGTTTAGCTCATTATAGTTATGAATATTCACATGAAGGTAGGAAAAAGATTGTAAATCATTTAATTGATAGTGCAAAAGTTATCCAGCGGGCTTGAAGAACTTATAAGTTAAGATCTGAAACTTGGGCAAAACAAGTTTAGAATATGGTGAGAAATGATAATACTTCTGATGAAAAGAAGTATTTAAGTATAACTCCTTGTGCCATAAGAATTCCTGATGACCAATATGTAGACTATTTTAGTTAAAGAATTCTAGCCAGAGATGTACCTGTACATCATCAGAATGAATACAGTTTGTATGATTTGTATTATCATTATACTCTACATGATTGGGCAGAAAAGAAAAAATGCCAGTTATATATTCGACTAACTACTGTAACATATATAATTACTTTTATAAAATCACATCAATTAGGTTATAGATTCATTGATTATAGTGATTGGACTATTATGCTAAAATATCTAACAAATCCTGAATATTATTGTATTATCAAAGACAATTACAACATTTATGTAATCTTTGTTAAAATTTTAGAAAACACGTGATATATATGTAAAAAAGAAGGCAAACCATATTCATGTAATTCGCTAGAAATTATCATGTTTAAATTTTGTTATATTACTACTTTTGATAGAGGTTTAACTATTATAGATTTCTCAGATATTAACAATAATAATGAGTATGTGCAACAAATTTTCTGGACGATAAAAATAATATTAAAATAGTATATTTTATATTCATATATAAATCAATCAATTTATTTTTTTTACTTTGCTTATGCATACAATAATCGTTTGTGAAATGTATTATCTACAGGATAAAAATTGGTCAAAAGCGCTATACATGATCTGCCTATTCTAGGTTAGATCTTTTAATCTATTTTAATAAAGTATTTTTCAAGAAGTTCAGGAAGATTAATGAAGCGATCTTAAGAATTCTTGATTGCAAGGTAATATAACTATCAGTTTGAAAATTTTTATGTAACAGTTATCTAGCAAGCTTATAGGAATTACAAGAAAAAATCCAAATTTTTGGCAAAATGAGTTTGAAAGACAGTGAAGAATGATGGTATTCTTGAAAATAAGAAGTTTTTAGATATTGTTTTTCATGGTAAAACATATCATTTCATTAATGAAAAATTAATAGAATCTAATTATGTGAGTGATTAATTTTATGTAAAAAATAGGTATAATATTTATTCTGCTACTACTTGGGTAGAAGTGAAGAAAAATCAGTTATATAAATGATTATGTATTGTAGCATACCTAGCTACTTTTAGAGTATTATATCAGTAAGGCTACATAGTTGTTAGAGATATAGCTTAGTATAACATATTAAAATGGTTACAGAATCCCAAATTTTATCTTATTGATAAAAAATATAACTTCAAGAATATTATTAGGATTTCAGATTATAAAAAATATAGGGATAAATCAGTAAAAATAGAAAGAATATGTAACTTATTACCGTTAAAATTCCTATACTATATTTATGGAAAGGATGTTACTATAAATTTCTCAGATTTGAATAATAATAGTGAATTAGTGTACTGAATTTTTCAGATCAGACTTTGACTCAGATCCTGAATATTGTATTAATAAAATATATTGTCTAATCATACGAAACACCTCAAGGACAATGCATGTAGGCATATACGACATAAATAAAATGTATTTTTGATTCTCATTAAAGTATATATAATATAATATGTAATAGTTTACAAATCATCTGTGAAACTATACTTGTGTGATAAAATAATTTCACACATAAACTGATTCCAAAATATTTTGAATTTTTTTTCCTATCTATCTGAATAGCATTTATTTATGAGTTTATTTCTTTTAAAGTATTGTGTTACAACAAACTATTCCTACTAAATTCTAATCAAAATATATTTATATAATGTTACTAGGCCTTTATTATTGAGCAGTTGAGCAAGTGAAACAAAAAAAGTATGTATATGCATATTCTCTAACATCTTTGCAATGTTGAGATCTACAATGCACATTCTACATGCCTTTATTCTTAAACACAAAATTTTGGCATAAAGTGTCTTGCATATTTTCCTTTCTCTTCCCCTAACATAAATGTGAGTTAGTGAGAATATAGATGGAGATTTAAAATAGCTGGATAGTATATTAGAGTTGAGTATTTTTACGTTTTATAAATTCTTTTATTTTAGCTATACCTATATACATTAAAATTTATAATTTCTTGTCAAATGCTGAGAAAGAAAATATTACCGCTGGGTCTATTATTTACTAAAAAATTGAAGAAAATTCTTGAATAACTCAAAACGAGCTAAAAAGTATTATTGAACAGGCTGTGGTATTTGTAAAAAATCAATATGAATAAGGCTCCTCATGTCATACTACTCTTCTCAAAATTCTACCAGAAGTAATATATTAAGCTTTGAACTACTAGTAATTAGAATTTATTTGAGTGATGAATAATGCAGACAGTGATACCATTCTGAGGGAGAGAGCATAATAAACTAAATATCTTATTAGCTCATTCACAGGATTTTTTTTCGGCAATATGGAGAGTAGTTAGGTTATAACTATATGCTTAATTCAATATAGTTATTTTAGTATCACATAAAGTCTTTATTTGAGTATTAGAATAGCTAACTATACGAGAATAGAGCTTTATTTTAATCTGACAACGCATACGTTTTTGATATTTTTTTTTAACATCTATACCTAAACTAATTATTTATATGTCTGCGTTAGTTCAAAATTAGCTTTAAAATAATCTGTAGTTTACATAATATCAGTGCAGTTAAAACAAATGGAAAAAGGTCTTTTACTTCAAATAAAATCAAAAAAAATATCAAAATACTGAAGGGTAAACTCAGAAAAAATACGTTACAGCTTTATTAGTATTTGTTTTTAGATGTAAATAAAGTATCTATTTCTGACTTAACTTGAAAAGATTCTCTAGCCAATTAAGTAATTAGCAATAATTCAGATCTGGTACAAAAATTACTAGAACAACTAAGAGAATCTTTTATGGTAAATTTTTTTTTATATATATTTTTTATCTAGCGTTATTTTAATTTATAATTATACTATTTTTAGAAACTAATAGAGGATATGGTTCTTTTATCACTTCTACGAATTATATGAGAAAAATGTGAAGAATTTGTAATTAACTTTGCAGAAAGTAATATAAGTATTTTATCACAAAAACTTTCACATAATAGAGAATAGAAAAAATCAGATGAGAAGCTTACAGACGTCACATCAAGAATTTTAAGTTCTTTAAATGATTTATGGAATAATTCTGCCTTTATCTCTAAGTTTGCAAAATTATAAAATAAAAGTACTTATGTAATTAACATAATAGTTACTGCTATTCAGGCTACATTAAAAGGTCTTTCTTTAGGAAGGTTATCTTATATTAGCAGGTAAATGATAATATAATTAAAAAAAATTGTATTGCAAGTATCAAGTTAAAAACTTCTAGACTAATATTAATATTATTATCTTTTAATACTGAACATTAAAGTTCAGCTAATGCAGATAGAAAAGGTGAAAGACAAGCAGGAAAACAGCCAGATATCATATTTTGATAAAGCATAATAGAAAAAATATAAGCTCATATATGTTAAAAGTTTACGCTTATCTTGTATTTTATAGTAAGAAAAAGATGATAAAATAAAGCTATGACGTGAAACTAATGATGGGATGTATTGGATTCACAAATCATCTGGACCAGATAAAGATGAATTCAGAATTATTGGAATGCAAGTGGCTAGACAAATAATACGTTTAAATATTCTTATTAGAGATATAAAAAATGTACATCATTATTACTATTTTTACGAAGCAAAAATTCCTATACAATAATCAG